GGTACGATTGGTAAGATATGTGTTCTTATGGGTTTTGATGGGGCGGGGTGGGGGGTCTAATAACGTTCTGTTGTTGCATCCGCACAGACGCGTCTTCTTGCGGTATCATAGCTACGTCAAGGTACGCATGATGGTTAACATCTGCAGATGCTATGCTGGTACTACGTCTGCATGTTACGGATGCTACGTTGAGGATGCTACGCTACGTTCGCCGTGGTAAAAGCATGCAGTTTTTATCATTTTTTGGGTTACATGACGGGCTGGGGTGGGATCTAGTAACGTGTAATAACATCCTGTTACTGTTGTTGCATCCGCGCAGACAATCTTCTTACTGTATCATAGCTACGGCATGGTACGTGTGATGGTGTACGTCTGCGGGTGCTACGCTGGTACTACATCTGCACACTACGGATGTCTGCACCCTACGGATGTCCCTCATTCCCTTTCTCTCTCACCAAGTCCATGCATGGGCTTGGCGGAAAAACTTGGGACACTTGAATGCTGTTGGTTTTTAGCGCCGCTTGGCAAACATTTAGTGAAGATGCAACTAGTTTACTCGCATTTTGCATTGAAGAAAAAACATGATTGCAGACATCGACAACAGACGAAGACTAGAAACCGTGCAATTGCTGTGATTTGACTACGGCATATACATCATCAGAATGTCATTTTGGCCCACGGCGAAATATGAGCTGTGAACCGCGTAGTGTAGTCTAGTGTAGTGTGGTGTAGTGTAAGGTAGTGTAGCTGTAGTTGTAGTGTAGTGTAATTAGTGTAGTGTAGCGTGGTCTAGTGCAATTTAGTGGTAGTTGTAATTGTAGTTGCAGTTGCGGTTGTAGTTGTAGTGTAATGTAATGCAATGTAATTAGTGTAGTGTAGTGCCGTGTAGTGTAGTGTAGTTGTATCGGTATTTGTAGTTGTAGTGTGCTGCAGTGTAATTAGTGTAGTGTAGTATAATGTAGTGTAGTTGAAATTGTAGTTTTAGCTGTGGTAGTAATAGTTGTTGTAGTTGTAGTGTAATCAGATGTAAGTATGTACTGTAGTGAAACTAGTGTAGCGTCATGTAGCGTAGTTTATTTGCATTTGTAGTCGTGGTAGTGGTGTAGTGGTAGTGGTAGTGGTAGTTGTCTATCTATCTACCTACCTACCTACCTATCTATCTATCTCTCTCTCTCTCTATATCTCTCTCTCTCTCTCTCTCTCTTTCTCTCTCTCTCTCTCTCCCTCCCTCCCTCCGTCCGTCCGTCCGTCCGTCCGTCTGTCTGCAACCTGCAAGCTTAAAAACGCAGCAATTCTGCCAGACTTCCTCAATTTTTGAACTTGACAACGTCAAAAACGCAACAATTGTGCGAGACGTCCTCAATTTTTCAAGTTGACAACATCAATAACGAAGCAATTCTGCGAGACTTCCTTCAAAAACGGAGAGTTGAATGCAGAGCTGACGGCTTCGTGCCAATGCGTTTTGCGTTTTTTCCATTCCATCTGTCTAAAGTACTGCGCCTGCCACTAAAAAGTGAGGCCAGCTCATACGAAGTGCTGCACCTGTCACGCAAAATCATCTTAGCAAACCTGAAGATCTGATGCTCCAAAATGCACCCCCTCGCAGGATATCAGCGCCCTGACCTCCGAACATCTCTGATGAACATGTCTCTTGTACTGCGCCCGCTACGCAAATGCATCTTTGCAGACCCTCTTCAAATGTCCCACGCTTGCCGGCGTTTTTGACAATGGAACAAAACCCTCACGTTTTGCTTATTTTTGACAAGGTGCATAATTCCCTGGCCCCGTGAAGCGACATCTGAACGTCCAAAACTGGTCCGAACATGTTATTATTTTTTTTAACATGTTGATTTCGAAACGTGCTTCCCGCCACAACGGCGCGCACTTTTTCGACATCTCAACTTCCAAAAGTGCTCAGAATTGTCTGTTTTGTGCATTTTGACTTTGAAACGTGCTTCGTGCCATAACGGCGTGCACTTTTTCAACATCTCAACTTCCAAAAGTGGTCCGAACATGTTTTTTTTTAACATGTTGATTTCGAAACGTGCTTCCCGCCACAGCGGCGTGCGCTTTTTCGACATCTCAACTTCCAAAAGTGCTCCGAAAATGGTGTGTTTTGTACATTTTGACTTCGAAATGTGCTTCGCGCCACGACGCTTTTTAATCTCTCATCTGGACAAATGGCTCCGCACCTGCCGCTTTAGCGAGCCTACTTTTCGACCCTCCGGAGCCACAAATCATTGGAAAAACACTGTGATTTGCGACTTTTCTACCTTTTCGAACCTTTTCGCGCAACTGCATCTTCTGTCTTCTGACTCTTTCTCTTTTCTGTTCTTCTTTCTTCTTCTCTTCTCTTCTCTGACTCTTCCCACCTCTGCTTTTCATCTGTCCATATTGTCGGAAGCTTGACTTCCAAACTTCCTTCGATGATAGGATATCATATAATACGATCCGGTATGATATGATATGCTATGCCTATGCTATGATGCACCCGCAAAAAATCTTGAAACATCGCCTTATCTTTGGGTACTTGTCAGCTCCCTTTGCCTGGAACAGCTGCGACATCACTACCCGTGCTTGGTGAGTTCCTCGGTGCATTTTTTCCCCGGGCCGCAGGCAGACCTGACTGACATTCATTTGCTCAGTGATGCTCAGTGCAGATTGCTAAAACCAAATAACCAGGGCACTACAGATAGTAGTGCCTGAAAGCCAAGGTGAGTTTGGCACTGCTTGCACTGGACACCGCTTCAACACAGCGTTGCGCATTTATCCAGCAACAGCCGTGCTCAGAGGCCCTGATGGCCACGCTGAAGCTGACAACGTCGGGTGTAAGGTTTGCCACGGGCATGAGCTCAAACAAACCAAGAGAATGCTCCCATCGCATCATCTTGGAACAGGCACTCAAAGCTGCGTTGAAAGTGATGATGTCTCGTTCAATGCGGCACTCCCACATCGTTCTGACCAAGCTCAACGCCTGCTCCCATTGCCTTCCCTTTTCGCAAGCGCTGATGACCGCATTAAAACTGACCACGTTTGGCTGTACCCGTGCGCCAAGCATCGTATTATAGAAAAACATTGCCATCTCCCACTGGCAGCCTTTCTCGCAAGCACTGATGGACGCACTAAAGCTCACAATGTTTGGATGAATGTTTGCCTCGCCCAACCCTACAAAAGCAGCCAGAGCCTGTTGCCATTCTCCAGTCTTTTCACAAGAGCTGATGGCAGCATTGAGGCTGATAACATCTGGCTGAATCTCTAACTCATGCATCATCAGAAGCAAACTCAAAGACTGCTGCCATTGACCTCCCTTCTCACAAGCGCTGATTGCTGCATTGACGCTGATGGTGTTGGGCTGAACATGTGTCAAGGACATGGCCCAGAAAAAGTGAAGTGCCTGTTGCCATTGCCCCACCTTCTCGCATGCGCTGATCATTGCGCTATAGCTGACCACTGTTGGCTGAACCAGCGCTTCTTTCATGGACCGAAAGAGTTCCCAGGCCAAATGGAATTGTAAGCCCTTTTCACAACAACTGATTGCAGCACTGAAGCTGAACTCATTTGGATGCACCTTGGCACGTGGCATTGAATGATACAAAACCAGAGCGTTCTGCCATTCAGAACACTTTTCGCAAGAGCTAATCGCGGCGCTGAAGCTGATAACACCAGGTGGGATTATGGTGGCAGGCATGGTGTTTAGGAAGTCCAAGGCATGCCTCCATTGACCGCTCTTTTCCACGGAGCTGATGGCTGCATTGTAGCTGATTACATTGGGCTGTATGCTCTGATCTGGCGTTTCGTCAAACAAAACTAGTGCCTCCTCCCACAGCCCCGCCTTTTCACAGGAACTGATTGCTGAACTGAAGCTGTAGACATTCGGCTCGATTCTTGCTATTGGGATGGCTTCGAAGATGTTCAAGGACATCTGCCAAAAGTGGGCCTTCTCAAACGAAGAAATGGCCACACTAAAGCTGACCACATCTGGCAGGATGCTTTTACTTGACATCCTTTCAAGAAAGCTTACTGACCTTTGCCATTGACCTCCCTTCTCACAGGAGCTCAATCCTGCATTGAAACTGAATTCATTTGGCTGCACACTTGCTGTGGGCATAGAGTCGAAGAGGCCGCATGCTTGCTGCCACATATTTGACCTTGCGCGTGCTGAAATGGCCAATGTGTACTGCCTCACGTCCATCCTAAGACAGTCGTGCATCAAATCCAGGGCAGTGACTACCATTTCGGCATTGTCTTTCTCGGCAAGTGTTTGCAGAATTTCTTGAGTGCTTCCCATTCCATCGTGAAGACCATCCCTCATGGATAGCAACCAAAGTGCCTTCACATTACCAAAATGAGCATCTTTGCGTACTTGAAGCCGTTTTTCTACTAGATTCCTCCATCCTGGATCGATCACATTGCTTCCGGCAGCAGGATCCAGCATGACTGGCTTGCAGGCAGTTGTGCCGTGTAAATTGGGCGCTGAAGCCGACAGCTGACAGGATCTGACAGGTAGTTCCTTGAGCCAGCAATGGGAGTTTGACATCTTCCCACAGGACACTTTGCTGAGACATGTCGACCTGTGATGAGGTCACGGTGCGAATGACAACTGGTTGCGAAGACCAACGAAGATCAATGAAGCCCAAGAGGAACAAATAAGTAGGGACAGTGACAGGGATGCACAAAAGATCAATAAAGTCAAAGTCATTCGATGTGGATCAGAATCAAACCTTGAAATGGGCTAGGTCGAAGTACAATTGAAACAGCCAATGATAGGCCATACCACCGGGCGGCAACCGGATATCATATCTTCATGCTGTGAGTGTCTCAAGAGTCTTAAGTGTTCAGATTTGTGCTACATACTTTTGCTTGACTGCTGGACATCAATCCACCGCCATTCCACCGCTAACATACGGATCTATTGGGGATATTGGGGAATGTCCCCCTGGGTGCTTGGGATGCGGTCGAAGACATGGACCCGCTGCACGTGCTGCTTGCAAAAGAGGTGCCTTCACCAAAAGGCTCATCTTTTGGGAGTACCAAATGGTCATGAAGACTTGAAACAAGGGCCTTGGTTCGCTTGGTTCGCATGGCTTGGCACATCGATGAGACAAGTCAGGTGAATCGCCCGGAATCTCCAGGGGGCTGCCTTGTGGTCGCCTTTGGGCTTCCCTTTGGGGTCATTGGGGCCCCCTTGGATTCCTGAGGCAATCGGGGCCAATCTGAACCAATCTTGGGCTCAGGCTCGCTGCACTTCTTGTCAAGATCCAGGACCTCAAGTTGCTCAGAGCTCAGAGCCCAGGATGCCATGGCCACGGCTGTCATTGGACATGTGCCACAATCGACACAGAATTGAAATGTCTCACCTGATTCGTTCACTCCAACATGATTAACACACACACAAATAAATAAATGAATAATAAACAATCAAATAAATAAATAACCAAACAAATAAATAAATATGTATATATATATATCATATGCCGAGCTCTTGGCTACAGCTTCCAATCCTTCCAAACAATATCCAAACCACAAAGATCCACATCATCCAAAGGAAGCCAAGTCACATCCACGCCATCCCAAACCTTGAAGACATGGGGCCAATCAGCGGCAGTGGAATACCCAAACTTCATACAGCCTCCCTTGACCCTACGAACATGTTATAAATACTTCCCTGGTTGCACGCAGATGACGAAACAGCACTCAAACGCCTTGCTCCCTCGGATATTTTCATAATACAAAGATTTTGGATGACTGGAGAAGATGAATTCTCGTGCAAATGCCGAGAATTGACACAGGACATTCTTGAAGGTCGTGAAATGAAACGACGGACACCAAATGAATCAATACAAACAATAAATGGACAGACTGATAAGTATAAGTGATGCTTGAGAGCAAACAAGAAAACTCCAAAGCCAAAGAACATCCATCTGATTCTTGGTGATGAGAGGGTCAAACTGCAAGGGCTCAGGTTTCATCTCTGTTGAGTTCTTCCTGGCAGCTCCACCAGATTCCGTTGTATCTCATGTGGTCATGGAATCATCAATCCTCAAATCAACGGTAGTTGTGCAGGTTTCACACGGCAGTCTGTGGAAATGTATGTTGCGCTGCATAAAAGATTTGGACATTAAATGTTATCATCATACATAGGCATATATAAATGTGCATAGACATAGCTCACACACACACACATATATATATATACACACATATATATATATACATATATATATATACACATATATATATATACATATATATATATATAATAATAATTATATATATATGTATGTATGTATGTAGGTAGGTAGGTATGAATGAATGAATGAATGAATGAATGAATGTGTGTATGTATGTAATGTAATGTAATGTAAGGTCATGTAATGTAATGTAGTGTAGTGTAATGTAATGTAATGTAATGTATGTATAATCGTATATATGTTGCGCCCTTGCTGAACTATAAAAACTCACTAGCCCGAAAATTGCTGAAATAGTGCCATTTGGGGATGAAACCGCTTGGCAACTATTATTGCAGTGACGTCACATTGAGATACATCGAGGTCGCTATACTTCATGCAAATATAACGTAAATAACAACTTCCATAATCAGTGGCAACTTCAAAAGACTAGAACTGACCTTGCTCAATCACTGACCAAACATGAAAAAAATCAGGCGATTGGGTTTATGTTTAAATAGGGGTGGCAAGAACTCTGCACATTGTCCAGGTTCCTGGAGGGGAAGCGAGCCCCTTCCACATAACATATAACATTACATTAACTAGAATATTGACATAGACATAGACTCCACAGGAACTGGGGCCGACCCCACAGGATCCACATGCATCCACATATGATAATATTGATAATATATCTGATAATGTTGATAATATAACATAAAACTAGTACCATCTAGTACCATAGAATGCCATAGAAATCCTTGTAGGACTGTGGGCTAAGCAAGCAAATGAGGACCCGGATGGACCCGGTCATCTATTTTTCACGGAAAAGAAAACTTTTATTTCTGATATCGCTGCGCCTTGGATTGGTCACCTCCGTCCAAGTCTCCAGGATCCTTTCATTGGCGTGGAGGAAGTAGCGAATTCAAAGCAGCGACCGTGAAATCAGCTTCTGGTGTCACAATGTGTCGAACAGCTATCAATTGTCAGTTTCAGTAATATTCGACAACCTCGCGAGCTACGAATATCATCACAAAGGCACCTTCACTAAAATTCACTCCGACCTCAAACTTCACCACTGCACCAAGTCGCCTCTTGATACGCATGTCATACGTCACCTTTCGCACCACGTCTCGCAAGGATTTAAAACGACGCATGCGCAAACCAAGGTAGGAGGTTTGCATCAAAGCACCTTGGCAACTGCATCTGCAGGGCAAGGAGTCCGAGTTGCGTACCTAAAACATGTTCAGAAACTTCAGGGAGCAGAAGATAGCAGAAGTCTTGGTAGATGTTGGTGATCAATGTAGTCATATGTAGTCATTGTGGTTTGGGATGGAGCGTGGGAGAAAAAAGAACACATAGCAACTCTAGGCAACGAACAACTGCAACGATGACCCCACTTTAAAGGGTTAATTTGGGTCTATCAAAGAAGGGAGGCGCGAATTACTGAGATCATTTCGTGTTTTGGTTGCTGTAAGCAACATGAATCCCAAACGAGGGAGGCAGTTTGAGAAGTTGGTTCCGCTCACAGAGCCCTGGATTTGCAATGGCTAAATCCTATCTTCTGACTGCTGGATTGCTCGCCCCATCTTGCCCACATCCAGTCAAATGCTTCGCTCATTAATGGGATCCAGGCGCTCTCGGTGGTAGACACTGAGGCTTGACGAGTTAATCTCCTTAACTCATCCTCAGATCATGAAACTGCGCCTGTCTGCTCGTGCAAAACTTGACACAACTGCCTCTCACCAGGAGTAAAAGACAACTCTATCGACTCTGTAGGTCAGCCGCTTTCAGCCCCCATCACAGGTGTGAGATTCGGAAGCCAAAACTGCAAAAACAATGACACACACACACATATATATATATTGCCGCAATTCAAATGCGTTAGTCTATCTATCCATCCATCCATCCATCCATCAATTCATGTATCCACCAAATCCATCCAGTGCGCTCTGTTTTTTCATGTCCTGACGAGGCACACAAATTGAATTTATCTTCTCTTCAAGAGGCAGTCGGGCCTCTAAACCTGACAGATCTCAGTTGTTTCTCTGCAGCGGCTAGGGCACATGTTCAAAGTCATCCCATCCATTGGCAAAAAACACAAAGGAACTACGTCTCGCATGTTTTCATGATGTCTGCCACCTCAATGGCTTTGCAATCACTATCCGCTTGGGGAGTGGGGACATCCAAACATAACCTACAGACACAGTCTGGATCACAGTCCATCTCTGACTGGCTTTGCATCTTCTTTCTGAATCTTTCTGACCCCTCCATTGATTTCCATTGTATGGAAATCACACGGACACGTGCTGCAAAAACTGTTCCCAGATGGTTCCCAGAACTCCCCACACAGGGCAAATAAGGGCTCTCCGAGCGGCTCTCCTTTCTATATCCTTCGGTTGATTTCACAATATTTCCCATGGCTCGATTATGTTCGACTGGGGTTGCGACCCACTGAACCGAACCTAGGATGGCTGTGTCATTCTTTCCACTGAACTGAGGTTGGAGCGATTGGAGGCCACCTGCAGGGGAGGGATCTCGAAATCTCAATTGGTTGGATCTGAGCTTTTTTTGGCAAGAACTTACAGCCTTCTTGACATTCCTGCAAAGGACGTTTCAAGAATTCACACTTTAGCATTCTAGCAGTTCTTGATGGGCCCTAACTGTGTCAGATTTCTTGTTGCATCGTCCTTGTTTCGTTAGTGTTGTGGGAATTGACAATTCTGCATCATGAAGCAAAGTACGCAGCAAGATGCAACAAACCTGCAGCTTACGGCTAGCCATTTGAATGGTGAAAGCATCCTGCACCTTCCTTTTTGAACTCCTTCATGGAACATGCGCGCTGGCCTTGCGATATTTCGCGGCAAAAGATCTGACCTCTTCCTCAATCGATAAGAGCTGACCTCTGCAGGAGACTTGCAAGGTCCACACGGTCCACACTCCCAAACTTCTCTGTTGCATTGCCAGTCTAGAGCGGCGCACATTCATCAAAATTGGCGGTCCTATCTTAGCATTTTACTTCAAATTTCTGAATCATGGAAAACATCAGCGCCCGCCATTGATTTCAAACATTGGGAAGAATGGTTTGGGCACCCCTTCCCGTTGCAATCCGCTGCATTCTGGAGCGACATGCATGTTCAAACTCAAACTCGTTGCCGTTCAAATCGTGTAGCCAGCATTAGTCAGCGAACGTGCACTGTTGAACGGTTCTTACGGAATCTGACGGAATCATATGGAATCCAGTTTGCGTTTTCTATTTTCTCTTGATGCCTAACTGGATCTCAACCGGTATCTCAGCAAGGCGACTTCTGGCAGCTGCTATGGAGCTTTCGTCACTCTCATCCATATGGGAAGAAGAACTGTTCCCATCTGCGGAGTCCTGAGTACAGTATCAATTTAACAATCCAAACGCTCTCCAAAAGAATCGCTACCGCCATGATCACCATCACCATAAATCGGTCATGGTTGCCTTTCCAGTTCAACAAAATATGCCCGCTTCCCTTTCCAGCTTCCCAAATGTTGTCTTTTGTTGAAGATGTTGAAGAGGATCTAGAATCTTGTCCAACAAAGGATCACCACCCACCATTGTGGAACTGGAAAGTATCCTTGAAAGATTGTGCTTCGCATGCTTTTGACAAACAAGGAAGCACACAATTGTTTCATATTGTTTCAATGTCCTCGGGCGTCCTTGCATTCCTTGCCTTTCTCACAAGTGTCTTGTGGAGTCGGTGTTACTAATGGCCCTCCGTATCATTCTTTGCTATAGAATGCTATAAAAGGACCGACATGATTTTGATCCTGAATTAGAAGTATTTAGGATATTAACGTATATTTATATATATATATTATAGCGTGTTTGACGCAACATCTGAAACAAAAAATCTCAAATACGGCTTCCGATGGTTTGCCCTATGGTTTGCAAAGGAGTGATAGCCAGTGAAAAATGCTCTGAATCACTGCGACATCCAGATCTAGAGTTTGACAATGCTTGACAAGCTCATACTATATCATCTATATCAACCTGTATATATATATACCAATCTATATCAATCTATACATCATCTATATCGAAGTTTGGTCCTATTACCTCTCTTCACCCTGCTGATTTGAAAGTATCTACTGCTGTGATTGTTGTGAGGATACTGATTCACAGGCGGCTCACATGTTTCAAATGCTCGCACACACACACATACACGCACAGGATGTCCGTACTCAGTGTTTTTCTAATATAATTACAGCAGAATAATGCATAATATATTTTGACACATATCTGCATAATTCTGCATATGTGGGCTCAAAAGATCTGAAAAGCTCAAGCTTGTACTGGTTCTAGCCAATTTAAGTACAAGGGTTTCTGGCTTAGTCAGCTGTCCCACACTTCGCCACACTTCTGGCTTCAGACGAGCGTCTGACTCACGATTATCCAATGCCAAGTTCGGAAGCTTCGGATCGGACCCGAGTGCATCCTGGAACAATGACTGCTAAAAGTCCGAAAACAACCACACTTTGCTATTTCATATTCACTGAGTTCCGGCTAGACAACACTGCCCCATCTATACAACAGGCCCCATTCCAACGCACAGAAAAGCTACCCGTACTTGAGCCAGCAGGAACATCTCCGACAATACCGAGCGTACAATGACAAACAAGATTTCTCCAAAGTTTCAACTCCCATTCCTCCTCATGAACAGGATTGCCAAATAAAATACCAACTTCGGCCAAATCCTAAATGCCCAATTGCATCAACACCAACAGCACCCAAAGAAATGCAGCCGCGAAACATCGTCGCTGTTTATTTCTCTGACCGTTACTTTCTTCACATTCCTTATAGTCAGGGAGATAAGTCGTTGGGAAGAACGTCACGTTGTCAGGCAGGACATGGCATGACATGGAATGACCAAGCGCTATGATCTTGGGCTAGGTCCAACATGGGCCGACTCCAAAGGCCCCTAACATGCCGTAGCCATCCCTGGCCAAATCTCAGTGCTCATGCTGGCAAGCCTCGTGTCAGTAATCCGCATGGGATCGTCATCGTGATTTTCAACGTTGTGGAGTTTCCTTATGGGACATCAAAGATGACATCAATACACATCAGCGCCATGGACCTTTGGCGTTCCTCAGCCTTCCTTGTGGGCAAGTCACCAGCTGATCCCTGAACCTCGGAAATCTGGTACCAACTGCATCCTACTGGCACCGCCAATTGACAAGTGAAAGAACCATGCCTCAGTGTATACAGTATACAACTTGAGAGCAGTTGGAACGAAAGGTGTGTAGTATTGATAGGTGTTGAAAGGGAGTGCCGAGCATACGTTTTTTAGGTGGTTCTTGTCAGGATTGGCCCATCACAGTTTCTTGAATGCAGGTACAACAATCAAGGCATACAGTTGATGTGGATGATGAGACTCAGGCAACAATATGGAGGCTATGATGAGGATAGTGATGATGGGGATGATTCTGATCACGGCAAAACGATGAAGATGAACATTAATTAAGAAGAAAAACATGATTATGGAAATTATGAACCACAATGATTTGCGGATGAGGATGCAGGATGTGCATGGGGATGATGAAGATTGATGAGATTGGCGAGACACGGCGAGACTATGATGTATACAAAATAACACCCCCCAGATGGAAGCCGTGCAAGGCAAAAAACACAGAAAACAAGAGGGAAAATTGATGAAAATTGTAGGCAACAACTGGCAACAACCTCTTTGAACCGCCAATCGGTAGCTGCAAGGTGCACAAACTGGGGGAAACTCCGACCATTTCTCGCCAAAGTGTAGAATCCCCGCCCCGTGCGCTCGGCCCTGAAAAGGAACATTTGCTAAATTAGTTTTAAAGCACTGAAAACTCAGGTAGCTGAAGGTAGCTGGAAAACTTATCTTGCACATTGAATGAATTGGTTGCAACAAATCCATGAAACCTGGACAAGTTTCTCTGCGTCGCTATTTGCCGAGCATTCCGCTCCCAAATGTCCTCCCATGTTTGCCAAAAGCCAGACCGGACAATGCTACAGGGCCATCATTTATTCAAAATGGAACCCTGTCCATGGAGCAGAAGTGCCTGCGGACGATGACTGACAAGCGCAATCGGAATGAGAGCCGCTTTGGAAAATAGGAACCAGTTGGTGGGACTCTTGTGTGTAGACCTTGAAATCTTCGAGGCTCTTGCAAGTGGCTCTCGCCCATCCTCCCCCAATGGTGCCACAGTCATCACTGTTCTATTTCACACATTCCCTGGACGCATCTACCCATCAATAGATCAGCATAGATCAACCATATCAACCTTGACAAGCAATTGCCAAAAACTCTGCGAGCCTGCACGGCTCCCAAACTGGACAAAGCATTCCGCAACATCAACTGATATCTGACCGCCCTGCTGAACGGATCGGGGCAGCCTTCGACTGCTTGCAGCATGGCATGCAGCTCAGTCATGTCCTGTATGGACGCCAAAGCCGTTGAAAACTCTTCGCTTGTGCCATCGTCTCGGGATGTCTCAGGATGGTGATCCCATTCCTTCACCGACTAGAACAGATTTGAATGTAAACCTCTACCAATGTGGTCACCCAAGCAGATTTGACAATGGCAAAGTGCTGAAAGGACCCAGCCAAATCCCTCAACGCCATCTGATAAGTGCATATAAGTGCCTTAAATAGGTGCCTCAATAAAACAAATCACAGGTAGAGCTCCAATCCTAGTTCTTATGATTTTCTTTTAGCAGTATGCTTTTGGTTTTGGGAATTGTAGCATTAGCCCCAATTGAGCACCTGCAGCTCAAGTAAACAAACAACAGGCAAAAAACATCGAAAGGCAATCAGGCACGCAGCAACATCGGCAACACCCAACATACAATGCTGCAGCATCACTCAAAGTACATACATCGTGGCCCTATGTGGCCCTTCCCACATCCTCCGATTCCACGGCTGTTTCCAGGAGTTGCATCAGATACTGTGCGCGAAGCATCTGGAGAAGCTCTTGGGCCTGGGCGTTCAAGCACATCCAAGCACCACATTTCATGAGATCGTGCGATATGACTCTTGCTACACTATGAATCTCCATGGTATTCTCTGTTCCAACCCAACCAACACATTTGAGGTGCCGTTGGTGGTACAGTGTTTGAAACGAGTTTAGTTGATACGAGCTCTGAACAACAAGGTTGACCCTCGAATATCAAATGTCGTCAAATGTCCATATCTTTAGCTGTGACCTGCCTCTTCAATTTCCTGCTCGGCAGTCTCTGCGTGGATGGCTTCTGCAATTGCTTTGGCCTGAGATTTTATAAAGTCCCGAAGTATCTCGAAGTGATGCCTGAAGAATATTTACACGATTCTACTTGAGATACAGAGACTTCCTCTTGACTATTGCTGGATTATCTTCTGGGATGAGATCTCAGTTGCAGGCCAGGTCTGCAAGAGCCACATCTGTCAAATCATCTGCTGCGTTACCTGCATACAGCAAGGTAAACGTCACTCTGCATCCGGCCCTTGAGTGGGCTTGGGTGCTGCTTTGATTTGCCAATCTGAGCCGATGTGTTCCAACAAACTTGAGTGATCTCTGTGACTACTAGCAATACCGCGACTACTGCTACGAATATATGCCCCAGCCACAACTACCACAACTACCAGAACTACTACTAGTACGACAACTACCACAGCTACCACAGCTACCACAACTACCACAACATTGGCTCTCTCTCGCTCTCGCTCTCGCTCTCTCTCTCTCTCGCTCTCTCTCGCTCTCTCTCGCTCTCTCTCGCTCTCTCTCGCTCTCTCTCGCTCTCTCTCGCTCTTACTCCTCTCTCCTCTCTTTTCTCCTCTCTCCTCTCTCCTCTCTCCTCTCTCTTCTCTCTTCTCTCTTCTCTCTTCTCTCTTCTCTCTTCTCTTTTCTCTCTTCTCTCTTCTCTCCTCTCTCCTGTCTCCTCTCTCCTCTCTCCTCTCTCCTCTCTCCTCTCTCCTCTCCTCTCTCCTCTCTCCTCTCTCCTCTCTTTTCTCCTCTCTCCTCTCTCCTCTCTCCTCTCTCCTCTCTTCTCTCTTCTCTCTTCTCTCTTCTCTCTTCTCTCTTCTCTCTTCTCTCTTCTCTCCTCTCTCCTCTCTTCTCTTCTCTTCTCCTCTCCTCTCGTCTCCTCTCCTCTCCTCTCCTCTCGTCTCGTCTCGTCTCCTCTCGTCTCGTCTCCTCTCCTCTCCTCTCCTCTCGTCTCGTCTCGTCTCTTCTCTTCTCGTCTCTTCTCGTCTCTTCTCGTCTCTTCTCGTCTCTTCTCTTCTCTTCTCGTCTCTTCTCTTCTCTTCTCTTCTCTCTTCTCTCTCTCTCTCTCTCTCCCCCTCTCTTCTCCATATCGACCTCGACAAGTGCTATATAAATAATTATAAATATATATTTAAAAAACAGCCGCTCTTTGGAGCAGCCATACCTCCATCAGAACACGTCAAAACAGCAAGCATCATTCTGATTCGCCCGTTTCCCTGCTTGACCACGTCCTAAGGGCCCCGGCGTGCAGCAATTACAAGTCTCTCAAGGGCCTGTGATTGCCTCAGCCCGAGGGACTGTTCAGATGGTGTCGTAGTCATACATTGTCATTTTTTCAGATGTTGTCATATTATGTAATGTTATCACATTTGTGGAAGTAACCAAAGAACTAGCTTTTAGCAAAATAGATCGTATACATCTGGATATGTAGTCTTAATTAGTCTTATCTCGGCCTTGGCAGCGGATTAGCAGCGTACTGTATTGCACCTAAGACTCTCTTTGATTGAGTCTCCAAGGCACCTGAAAAGGCACAACATTCAGTCTGTCGAAGTTTGAGCACTGGGCATTGTTGTTGTGGCTAACTTTTCCTCACCTGGCACAGCTATCATCGTTTCCCCAATCCGCGTCGCCTCCCCCTTTGCGAAATGCCACGAACGCTAAATCGATAAAACTGTTTAGTGGTTCCCCCGTGCATCGTGAGAAGTCAATATTTTCCAGGTTTCTACAATGTGGAATCATGGCAGATCATGATGGCAGCAAATTGAAGATGTCGGGAGTACGAAGGAACCAAGGAAAACAAATCTCACAACAGACAAATTTCAGCCCGTTTCAACCATGCAAGTTTGTCATGCTGCACATTTTCTACAAAAGGGCAACAAAGGCCGAAAACACCAAGCCACAACCCGTTTCAACATGTTGCGATCCGGCCAAAAAAATGCGACATCACATGACACAACATTATGAGATCCTGCAAATTCATCAAATTCTACAGATCCTGGAGGCGTCAACTGGGGATCCCCGGCTCACGTAGCGGCTCTTCAAGAGCCTGGTGGTGTATGGTTTTAGGTCATAAGTGCCATGGTCAAAACATAGAATTAATAGGTATGGTCATGCATCCCGTGGGAATCCAAGCATAATGGGTATATCGGTATCTCAAACCCGGTCAATGGATGTCAATGGGAAGATGACCATACCTAGAATCCATCTATTGATCATGGCGCATATGCATGCTGAATGTCCATTCCTGTTGGTACAGTTGAAAATGTGTGAAACATTGTGAAATAACTGTTCTGATGGCTCATGGCTATCCTGCTTTCGTGGCTCCAAACTTGTTTGCACTGCCCGTCCTCAAACCATCAATAGTCAGCCCGTTCTTGCGTGCTCACATGTGCTTGTGAAAATCTTGTAAATGTGCTCGCATATCTGATTATCTGTGAAACAATGCCTAACATTGTCTACGCAAACATCCCCGTATTTTGCCCCAGATCCCATTGGAGCCGGACATTGCAATCTCACTGGCGAAGGGCATGTTTGCGGCTTTCTGTTTGAGCTTCAAACTTTTCCTCATTACTGGCATCGCTGGCTAACGCTAAGGCGCCATTCACTACTGTACAGTCTGCAAATGGGGATGATGGTCCCAAGAAGGCAAAATACCAACATTTTTCAACCGGATGCGATTCTACAAGTGAATGCCATGTGCAACAAGATGCTATACCACAACACACGCACACACATATTCATCAGCGAAGGAAGTTTAGAAGTCAAACTTCCGACAATATGGACAAATGAAAAGCAGAGATGGGAAGAGTCAGAGAAGAGAAGAGAAGAGAAGAGAAGAAGAAAGAAGAACAGAAAAGAGAAAGAGTCAGAAGACAGAAGATGCAGTTGCGCGAAAAGGTTCGAAAGGGTAGAAAAGTCGCAAATCACAGTGTTTTTTCCAATGATTTGTGGCTTCGGAGGGTCGAAAAGTAGGCTCGCTAAAGCGGCGGGTGCGGAGCCATGTGGTCAGATGGGAGATGAAAAGTTGCACGCCACTGTGGCGCGAAGCACATTTCCAAGTCAAAATGTGCAAAGCACTTCAGCCTCGGACCACTTTTGGAAGATCGGACGTCGAAGAAGTGCACGCCGTTGTGGCGCGAAGCACATTTCGAAGTCAAAAGTGTAAAAGCTGACGGATCCGGGGCACTCTTGGACGTTCAGATGTCGTTTTGCGTGGCAGGCGCAAGGGATTATGCACCTTGCTAAAAGTGAGCGAAACGTGAGGGTTTTGCAGCATTTCCTAAAACGACGGCAGGCGTGGGACATATGCAGAGGATCTGGCAAGATGTCTTTCGCGTGGCAGGCGTGGTGCAAGAGACATGTTCATCAGAGCTGTTCGGAGGTCAGGGCGCTGATTTCCTGAGGCAGGTGGCATTTTGGAGCATCAGATCTTCAGGTTTGCTGAGATGATTTTGCGTGACAGGTGCAGCGCTTTGTATGACCTGGCGTCACTTTTTCGTGGCAGGCGCAATACCTTAGACAAGTGGAGTGGAAAAAACGCAAAACGCATTGGTACGAGGCCATCAGCTCTGCACTCAACTTTCCATTTTTGAAGGAAGTCTCGCAGAATTGCTTCGTTTTTGATGTATGGTCACCGACAGAATTATGGAAAAAAAACGTTCAACTTAGACAGGCGGCGCCTGCGTCCGATTTTTCCATAATTAGATTTTTTTCTCATAAGGATTCAAAATATCCCGGAAGTGATCCGAACCTTTTTTTTTCCCATAATTCTTGGAGGTGGCCATTATTTCCATAATTGATTTTTCCTGTAAAATCAGGGGGCTAGGGCAGATTGACCGGTTTTTCCATAATTATTTTTTTCCATAATTATTTTTCCAGAATTATTTTTTCCATAGTTAATGTTTGGGGCTCCACCTGTTGGACATGTCATGGATCCACAATTCAAACCCCTTTTTTTGGGGGGTTATGGAAATATGTATCCAAATGCAAGTATGAAGACTTAGGGGCATATACCAGATCTTTAGACACATATTTTCTATAATTCAATATTCCCCCCTTAAAATGCATTCAAATTGCGAACATCACATGATATTATGTATATCAATGGAAGACTTAGGGGCATATACCAGATCTTTAGACACATATTTTCTATAATTCAATATTCCCCCTTAAAATGCATTCAAATTGCGAATCGATGGACATACAGTCACCGACAGAATTATGGAAAAAAACATAATTATGGAAAAAAATATGGAAAAAAAAAGGTTCGTAACTTTTCTATCATAGACAGGCGGCGCCTGTAAATTGAAACGTGTTTTTTTTCCATAATTCTGTCGGCTCCTGTAGTCAACTTCGAAGCATGAGGAAGTCTGGCAGAATTGTTTCGTTTTTGACGTTGTCAAGTTCAAAAGTTAAGGAAGGCTCGCAGAATTGCTGCGTTTTTGATGTTGTCAAGTTCAAAAACTGAGGAAGTCTCGCAGAACAGCTCCGTTTTCAAGCTTGCAGATAAACGGATAGATGGATAGACAACTACAACTACAAGTACCACTGCGCTACACTACTACTACAAATGCAAATATACTACGCTACATTACACAACACTAATTACACTACACTACACTAATTACATTTAATTACATCTAATTACATCTACTTACGCTACAGTACACAAATTACACTCCACTAACTACCCTACACTAGTTACACTACACTGATTACAATACACTAATTACACTACACTAATTACAGTACACTAATTACACTACAACTACTACAACAGCTACTACAACAACAGCTACTACTACCACTACTACCACTACTACCACTACTGCCACTACTGCCACTACTGCCACTACTACTACCACCACCACCACCACCACCACCACACAGCTACAAGTACAATTAGAGCTACACTACATTACACTAAAATACACCAATAAAACTGCAGTACATTACAGCTACAAATACAAACACAACTACAACTACAACTACACTATATTACACAACGCTACACTACACTAATTGGGAGCCTCGCTGCAGGGCGCCTGGTTGTTTTAGACGTACCGTCATGTAAATTCCATTGGAATTGTGGCTGCAGATGCGCAAGAGCGTTTTTTTCCACTCCAAAAACTACTTTCAGTCAGCAAACAGCTTGCGGATTGCGTCCAACTTCTCTGAGTTGTTGCCTCGCAAGTGCGTGCGGCGCCAAAGCCACTGCCAGACCCTTTGCTCCAACTTCGTTGAGTGGGTCACATCATCACCTCCTACCTTGCCTTTTTTGTTGGCTTCCTTGGGAAGCCAGGTCTTCAAACTTTTCCAATCGGAATCGATTGTTTGTGTTCCACTGATGTTGGACAATCCTTTGGGGACCTTACGAATAATGGAAGCATATTCTTTGTGTTGATGATTGACCTGAAAACAATGAATTTTCAAGACTTTCGCGGCTTTGGCCCATGCACGGGCACCATCAGCGTAGATAGCAAGAGGTTTTCTGCAACTCACAGCAGAAAGGAGCTTCGAATTTTTGATCTCCTCCCAAGATTCTTGCGGTGGACGGCTTTTGGGCAAGCAAACCTCAGAAGTCCATGTGGAGCCAAAAAAGAAAAAAAATTGGGTCCTCTTTGGTTTGTGTTGGATTCGGAAACATGACTGAAATATTGCAAGAAACACGTGGTCGAAGAAATCGAAGAACCAATGGTCCATTCCGTTGACGTAACCCCAACAAACGTATGTGAACAGGAAATGCCGGGAATGTTTTGCCTTCTCGGTTCTCCAACTGGTAGATCTGATCCGCGTACGTTTTGTTGCTGCGCTTCACCCAGAAACGGCCAACACTAGTACCATCAGCTTCGATGCACTTGGTGACTTTGGCTGACATGGACAATGCTTTTCCTGCAAACGCTTCACGTTCTGACATAATGTCCAAGAAGTGTCGGCAAGAACTGTAGCCAAGTCCTGTAAGCTGCACAAAGTGTGCAATGGAGATGCACTGGTTCCAGACGGCGGAGATGTAAGACATGATCATGTATGCCAACTCTGCTGGAGTCACTTTCAAACCTTCGAAACGACTGTTGAAAAACAAGGCTTTTCTTCTTTGGCAATTCCAAGCTTTGCAGCGCCAAAACCACCAAGGCCGTCTATCTTGCCTCTGATCTAGCTTCCAGGGACCACCAAGCGTTTTGGCAGAACAATCAGGGCATGTTTTCGGTTTCTGCAGAAAGCCATGATCACATAGCCAATCCAGGGCGGCTTCATCACTCGAAGAAACGCTCCAATCAAAGCTGGAGTCTATGCGCCTCGGTTGCTTCTCGGACTTTGGACTCTTGGAGTAAGCCTTGCGGGCTTCCTTTTGCCACTTTGTTCCAGCTCTGACATGCAAACGGGCATCTGGATGCTTTGGCTCAAGTCTGCTTGACTTGCTTTTCAACTGGCCTTTAAGTTTCTTAACCAGCGTAGCCCCTGGGTATGGACAAGTTTCAAGCCGATGCTTCAACGACCCACATACTGCACAACGGTGCTGTTGACCGCGGCGGCTACGAGCAGAAGGACGTTTCATATTCGAGTTGGATGGAAAAATGTCTACGTAGATGATCATCATCATCATCATCATCATCACCGGTTGGTGTTAATGATTTTCCCTAATATTCCTAATACTGTATTCCCATTTCTGTTTCAAACAAAAAAAATGAGAAATAACGGACATCCCCATTTTTTTGCGTTCAAATCCCCATGGATATTCCCATGAAATTCCCCATTGATTCATTGATTCCATCAAAATCATCATGAAATAATGGGGTTTACATAATAGGGTTTACATAATGGGGTTTACATAATAGTACCATTAATAAACCGGATGAATAACCATAGTTACTATGGTTATGATTGTTTAAGTACTGGGTTTGTCTGAAAATAGAGTATATTCCGAATTATAGCCATTTAATAGGGATAATGATCATTAACCATTGGGTTTAGGGGTACACTAGTTTCAGACAAACCCATTTAAGTATAATAACCATGGTTTATTACTCCGGGGTTGACATTATGGATGATTCCAAGCATCCTCCTCCAGCTTCAACTCCGCCCTCAGCTGTCGGCACATATATACTAGGGTCTTATATATATATACACACTATTATTATATATATACAGTACTATACTACATATACGGAGTTTACAAGTATATACATATATGCTATATATAAATAGATATCTATATATGTATATGCACTATATTTAAATATAAGTTGTCCATGCACAAACGATGATTAAGTTTTTATAGATACGTATATATATAAATATATAATTATATATATATATATTGAGTTTATAGATGTGTAGATCTTCAGCACCGAAGTGAGTGCAAAGACCTGAAAGCAAACTTTTCCAATGCGCGGACAGCACCAATCTCTCTACTTCAACGAGCGGCGCCATTGCGCAACAATGAAGCTCGAAGCTTCGCATGCTGATTTTTCAAGTACTTTGGAATTTTTGGCCACAGATCGTCTGACAATGGTGCCGACGTCCAACACTGTCTCTTACCGTCAATCAGCTTCCACCACTGTGAGCACACCAAGCGAATGTGACCAGCGTTTGCACCACTTTGGAACAGATGCGGTTTTCGGCTGTATTGGCAAGTGGTGCACCGTCCGAACTTTGTCGGCTTGTAATCAGACACGACTTCTTCAGGATCAGTGGACAGAGCTTCCACCTCAATTGTCCTCTGCTCTTCCTCGCGCAACATGGAATGAATCTCTTCATCTGTTGGAAACGACACCAAGCGTGCAGAGGAACTTGAGGACGTAGCAATTTCAGCCCCACAGGTCACAGAAGAAGGGATGCCCAGAATATCTGCCAGCGCCTCATCTTCTTGCCTGAGAAACTCATCCAAGGACATGCCAAGATGTCTTTTGTGCGATTCACTTTTGTCTCGAATGTGATGAGGTGAATCATCATGGTGCACCGGAGACATTTCCACATCAGACAAAGCATCATTCTCTAAATCCAAGTCAATGACTGCACGCGGTGCTGGTTTCAAGAATTGAAATCTCTCAGAACATTGGTCTTTCTGCAAGCACGAACTGTTGACCGGAATGCGAACAAACAATTGATCCGAGGAAAATTCCACGACAGATAAGCACACCCAAGACTCGACGTACGCAAATGTCTGCACCCGCGGAAGTCCGAAGACAGAGCACACGGCAAACAGATGTCGCATTGGAATCCAGACTCCAATTGGTAACTGCATCAGAATCACATACATAGAATCCAAGGGGTCAGATGGCCATGGAGGAAACTGACCGTGCAAAGTCTTGTAATCCATTGTGCACACATGGCACGATAAATGAAGGGAAGTACAGTGAAGATCTTCGAACCAATGTGCCCGTTGAAATCAAGACTGATAAGATAGTCTTCCGAAACAAAGCAGATCAAACCGTCAAAAAACCCAGGAACACGATAACGTAAATCCAACATGTAACATGGGAAAACCCAAACGTTTCAAAACGGACATCAATCATGTTTTCCCCGAACACCAAAGATCATCTGCAACGTGGAATTGACAATTGGAAGACAGAAACCCCAAAGACATGTAGAATCATGTAAATTAAAACATGAACCACGAAACATGTTTGGAAACTCTTCCGTGTTTGCACGTGATCAAGACCAAGAGTACAGATGGAGACATAGATACAGACATAAATATTTATATATATATATCCATATATGTATTCATATTTTTTAATTATCTATAAACCCCCCACCCAGCTGCAGGGGCGCCTGAAGCAGTTACAGCAACATGCGCACAGCGTCGCAACAACGGCGTCTTGACGATGTCACGATACCATGTGCAGAGCATCGCAACAACAGCGTCTTGAAGACGTTAGAAGACGCAAAAGACAGAAAGTTATTAGACCTTACAAGAACACCCCCCCCCGAAACCCCCTCCCGAACCCCCCCCCAGACGTTACAAGACCATGTGCACAGCGCGTTACAAGACGCAACACACAGGACGTTATAGCCACCCCAAAACCCCCCCCAAAACCCCCCCCAGACGTTAGACGACCATGTGCACAGCGCGTTACAAGACCAACACACAGGACGTTATTAGCCCACCCCAAAACCCCTCCCCGAACCCCCCCCCCCCCAGACGTTAGACGACCATGTGCACAGCGCGTTACAGACGCAACACACAGGACGTTATTAGCCCACCCCAAAAAACCCCCCCCCAAAACCCCCCCCCACACCTCCAAACCTGTCCCAAAGAAGCAAACAAAGCAAAAACGCAGCAAAACACCCAGGCGCCCTGCAGCGACCCTGGCCACTAATTACATTACATTACGCTACACGACGCTACACAACAACTACAACTACACTACATTACACTACAATACACTAGACTACACTACACTATACCATGCTACAGTACACAACACTACACTACATTACAATACATTACGCTATTTACACCACACCACAACTACAACTGCAACTGCAACTACACTACACTAATTTTACTACATTACAGCTACAACTTACAACTACAACTCCGCCACACTACAACTACAAGTACGCCTACAACTACAACTACAACTGCACTACACCACACTACATCCAGCAGTTGTGGTGAGGTGACCACTGCAACCATTGCAACCCACTCCAGAAAACACAACTCAATACACAACTCCAACCACCTTTCGGTCCATCAGTGGATTCGCTCTGCCATCCGTGATTCACAACAACCAACCGCTCCTATAGGGTTACCTATTCTTGAAACTTCCGCCACCGCCTTGTGCGGTACTACTGGTATCAAGTCATATTACACATTCACGCGTATTCCAGTATCTGCAATCCAAGGGTCTTGAAAATAACATCCCCTTCGTTCTGCTTCGCTTCCTCCTTCTGCTCAGAGTCCGCCAAAACCGCACTGAGCAATGGGCGAGACTTGAGCATGCAAATCCGGTGCCATGCGGTGCCTTGAGTTCCCACCGCTTTCTGTTTGACATTTTTGGAGCCTATACGTTCTATCTGAATCATTTTGAACCTAATGCCAAAACAATTCTGCAGCGCTGACCATGGGAACTTGAAGTGGGCTGAGCTGTAGATGTATAATATATATATATATATTAAATGTTATATACACACATACATATATATATATCACTAAATAAATAAATAAGTAAATAAATATATATATATATATAATATAATATATATGGCGTTATACCGAGCACCAGCAGCTTGGGTATGACTTTTGGCACTGACGCTGACGATGCATTGCGACGACAGATTCCCGATAATCCCCGTCCCCCCTGACGACGCATTGTGACGACACAAGGCCTGACGACGCATTTCCCCTTGACGACGCATTACCCCCTGACGACGCATTGTGCAGACACATTGCCTGACCACGCGTTACCCCTTGACGACGCATTACCCCCTGACGACGCATTGTGACGACACATTGCCTGACGACGCATTACCCCTTGACGACGCATTACCCCCTGACGACGCATTGTGACGACCCATCGGCTTACGACGCATTACCCCTTGACGACGCATTACCCCCTGACGATGCATTGAAATGCCACATTGCCTGACGATGCATTGCCTCTTGACGACGCGCTCCCCCTAACGACGCGCTCCCCCTAACGACGCATTGTGACGATGTATTGCCTGACGATGCATTGCCTGTTGGCGGGCTAGGCATGAGGAGCAAGGGGGCAGGCGTACGGTAGTATGTGGGAAGATAGATAGAGGCATGCAGGTGGAGGAAGAGGGGCCGGAGGGCAGAAAGGGATTTGGTCTGATCACCAAGGCTTAGGTTATGTAAGTAGAAATATAAGGCGTAGAGAGGTAGTACAGGGGGTTGTTGCAAATTGAGACATTTCGGCAGCTGGTAGGAAGGGGTGATGGCACCTCATGCCGGCCAGGATAGTCAAGATCATGTGGCGCGTTTGGCAACCTCAGTTGAAAATCGGCCAGGATCAATCATTGAGTTGAAGTTTAATCTTCTTAGCTTCTTACCAAACCCAAGAGAGTGCCGGAGTGTTCCAGGAGAAAGCTCACAGCATAGCATCAAGAGAGTGTTGGAAGTTCAACGAAAAAGTTAAGAGTGTAGCATTCAGAGCATGCTGGAATTTAGTGCGTATCATCAAGAGCGTGTTGGAAGTTCCAAGACTAAAAACGTAGCCCCAAAAGCATTTTCAACATCAAAAGGAGGCTAGCATCAAAAGAACGCTGGCAGTTCCCAGAGAAAGTCAAGAGCGTAGCACCAAGAGCGTGTTGGAAGCTCCAAAAGAAAGCGAAGCGAGTACTACCAAGAGAGCGTGTTGAAGCACCAAGAAAAATACCTAAGAGTCCAGCATCCAGAGCGTGTTGGAGGTCAGAGCGTAGCATCCAGAGCATGCTGGAATGCTTGAGGAAGAAGAAAAGAGCATAGCAACTAGAGCATCCTGGCGCGCGTGTTCCAGAACAACGCTAAGAGCGTAGCACCAACAAGAGCGCGTTGGAAGTTCCAAGAAAAAGTTAAGAGCGTATTATCACACGATTGTGGTGGACCGTAGCGTCAAGAGCATCTCGGACTGTTCCAAGAGAAGGTTCCGCGTGTAGCATCAAGAGAGTGTCGGAGCCGGAGCCAAGGACGTAGCATCCGGAGTGGGCCGGAATGTTCCAGGAGGAAGCTAAGAGCATAGCATCAAGAGCGTTTTGGAATTTAATGCGTCACAAAAAGAAGCAAAAAGATGCAAAAAGAGCGTTCCAAGAAAAACCAAGAGCGTAGCATCAAGAGCGTGCTAGCATGTCCCAGGACAAAGCAAGGAGAAAGTGTCGGAACGCCCGCGAGATAGTTAAGAGAGTAAAAAACACCAAGACCGTCTTCGAAGTTTCAATAGAAAGCTAAGAGCGTAGCATCAAGAGCATGTTGGGGCCAAGAGAGCAGCATCAAGAGCTTGCCGGACGGTCCCAGGAGACAGCTAAGAAGAGCGTAGCAGCAAAAAAGCGTGTCGGAAAACCCGAGAGTAAGCCAAGAGCATAGCAGCAAGAGTGCGTTGGAAAGCCCGAGAGATCGAAGATAAGCCAAGAGAGTAGCACCAACAGTTTGTTCGAATCGCCAAGAGAAAATTAGCGTAACATTCAAGAGCGTGACTGTCTCCAGAGGGTAGCGTCAAGGGCGTGCTGGGCATGCTTCAGGAGAAGGCCAAGAGCGTAGCAAAATCTCAAAGAGCAAGTCAGGAGGCTAGCCTAACGAAATGAACGACTTGAAACGAAAGGAAGACATACACGAACCGGATGTAAGAGTTGAAACGAAAGGCAAGATGCAACGAAATGAACGCGGTGAAACGAAAGGAAGAGGTAAATGAAGAGGATGAAACACCGGGGGGGAAGCAGCGAACGGAGCAGAAGTTAAAAAGGAAAGGAGCGATGCAGGGAGCAGAAGGGAAGACGAAATGAAAGGGAAGAGTAACGAGCGAAATGCTCTTGATGCCCGTCTTTTCGCTCAAATCTTCTGCCCCGTTCGTCTTGCTCTTCCTTTCCTGTCAACTCGTCCATTTCGTTGCGTCCGTCCTTTCGTTGCAGCTCTTTCCTTCCATTCGTTACTTCCTTCCTTTCGTTTCAACTCCTTGTTATCCCGTTCGTTACTTCTTCCCTTTCGTTTCAACTCTTTCCTTCTGTTCCCTATACGTCGTTCCTTTCGTTTTAAACTCTTCTCTTCCGTTTGTTACTTCCCCCCCATCCTTTCAACGCGTCCACCCTGTTCATTTACCTCTTCCTTTCATTTCAAGGCGTTCATTTCGTTACGTTACTTCCTGATCTTCCTGCCTTTCGTTTCCATCCCGTTCGTTTACCTCTTCGTTTCGTTTCAGGTCGTTCATTTCGTTACCTCCTTCCTTTCGCTTCAACTCTTCTTTCCTGCTCGTCTTGCTCTTCGTTTCCTTCCAACTCGTCCATTTCATTGTATCCGTCCTTTCGTTGCAACTCTTCCCTTCCATTCGTTACTTCCATCCTTTCGCTTCAACTCTTTTTCATCCCGTTCGTTACTTCTTCCCTTTCGTTTCAACTCTGCGCTTCTGTTCCCTATACGTCGTTTCTTTTGTTTTAAACTCTTCTCTTCCGTTCGTTACTTCCTCCCCATCGTTTTAATGCTTCCATCCTCTTCATGTACCGCTTCCTTTCATTTCAAGGCGTTCATTTCGCTACTTCCTTACCTCCTTCCTTCTTTCCTACTCTTACATGCAGTTCGTTTACCTCTTCCTTTCGTTTCATGTCGTTCATATCGTTACCTCCTTCGTTTCGCTTCAGCTCTTCTTTCCTGTCCGTCTTGCT